AACTGAAGACCAACCACTCTAAGACATTCATCATCAGCCAGAAGGACGTCGCAGTAGTTGACTGCTCAAGAAGACGTACAAACGTTTCCAGCCGAACAAAGACATTATTATGCAGCACTCTGCCTCCAACACACTCAAGCGTAAACAAGGGCCACTGGTACCAGGGACAGACGCAACTTCCTTCGGCCTGTTGGATCATGATGCAAAGCCGCAGTTGAGCTAAAAGCCAAGGGCCTGGAATCCTTCCAAGTTCCATCTACAAACAAAGTAGGCTGACTCTCTGGTACACGACCGGATTCACACACATGAAAGAGAGCTGGTGTCTGTCTGTAAGCTTTGATTCCCATCTTTTAAGTTTAAGAGAATTTTCGATTAGGGCCTCGTAGTTCTAAAATTTACTCTCGTAATATTTTAAACTTACTGCCGCATCGCAAAATCCACCATCGCTCCTGAATCACCAAATAGTAATAATTCATATATTGTCCACATATTCTGTTACTTGTTGTCATTTGTTTACATTATCATTTCATACTATTTACTCTGCATTAGTTTAGTTAATAAACATATATAACCGTATGTCCTTGTCGGTGCAGGTTTGATTTGATGCGGGGAAATCGATGAATCCTTTAAAAGAAATCACTACTTCAGAACATGAGATTGAACTAGGGTGGCCATTCGTCCGGCTTTAGGCCGGACAGTCCGGCTTTTAAATGCCCTGTCCGGCTGCAGGCACAGCCTTAAGCCGGACACTCATTTGTCCTCCTTTTGACAAAATAACTAAAAAGGTCGCCTTTTGACACATTACCTCGTTAGTTTAATACTTATTGGCTAAAAATGTGTGTCAAAATAAGTAATTTCATTGGTTCCATTTTCGTCGTGACCTATCAACACATGGCTAATTTTAATATTCAAATGAGCCATGGGTTGATTCGTCACGATCACCACAGTTGCTACCACCAGGCTGTCAATCAAGCTCTCAGCGACAGAAAACGTAACGTTAGCTAACGTCAGTTGTTGGACTGAAATTCTGAAATTGCTTATACTCATATGTATAGGCAAAGCCTATACATCTGATACAGAAGGTGCTGCATTTTTTTCCCCCTTTATCTATCCAGATAAAAACATTAAGAACAGTTTCTGTATGATGTTTATTAGACCTATGTAATCTGAATTGGAAGGGCACGTTGTCATGAGCTGTATCTTGTATATTTATTATTAGCTATGTGGTATGTGTATGCACCTTTATGTAATCTGGTGGAAAAACATTACAATTTAAAACCGGATCATACCAAACAAATATCTGCTTGCGTGTCCCCCTGTATGCAAAGTGTCCTCCTTTTTGATGTGAAGGAAATGGCCACCCTAGATTGAACATAGATTATTATTACAGTAGCTAAACAAGGAGGTGGTGCCCCATTTACTAGTGTATTATTAATCTTCAGTGATTAATTACCTTTATTATTAAGTAGTGTAACCCCTACAGTTTATACTCTATATTATTATAAGGGTAATATAAATAAATAAATAAAATATTCAATAATAATGTTAATGTCTCATAGTCCCCAAAAGTCTAACCAGCCCATCCAATCCCTGAATTTCTTCTTAGATCCATTCTACTCTCTTTACCTTGTCCTTGCTATATCTCCACCTCCTTTCAGTCCATCCCTCCCTACTTCTTCCCTTCTTCCCTTCCCCCCATATGTTCTTGTCCTGCCAATACCTTGCTGTGGGCTCTGGCAGAATTGGCCTGTCCACTGGGCAGTGCAAGTACATGTGAATCCATCAATTCCGTCGTTGCAGGTTCCTCCATTTTGGCAGGGATTGCTCAAACATTCATTGAGATTTTGGTCACAGTTCACTCCTTGCCAGCCAGAGTTGCAATTGCAGATGTAGCCAGGAGCCACCGTGGTAGCCTGTGATAGCAGAAATGCAGTTGCCAGACATTCATGAATTTCTTACAAAGAGATTATTCTTCAGAATATAATGAACACAAAAAGATCACGGTAGGTGTAATCAAGCATTCAATGAATGATTCAGACTATGGCTACATGGACTGCAAATAATTTAAAAAAGGGTATTTACCTGAGTTTGTGTAAAAAATGATTCATGAGCAAAGCAAGCTTTTAATTCACACATATTTGTTGATGGGATCAATTAATTGTTGGTTTTGAGCTTTCTGGGGAATTTGTTGACTGTAAGAATGTATAGAATATTACCAATCTTATCCTTTGAAGCTATACTATGTAACATTTCCTCATTAAAATGAATATAAACACAAGATCTGAATATTTTGTTGAGCTGTGTACTCACATTATCACAAATGTTTCCAACTATGTTCAAACCTAGAGAAATCTGTCATTTTATTTGGGAGCCAGAGCTTTCAATTACCAAGCTCTTCTCCTGTGGAACCAGCTTCCAGTTAGGGCTTGGGAGGCAAACACCCTCTCCACATGCAAGAGTAAATGAATGGTAACTGAGTGAATGTATGTGAAAGGGCGAATGGAGCATATAGTGTAAAAGCGCTTTGAGTGGTCGGAAGACTAGAAAGGCGCTATACAAGTACAGGTCCATTTACCATTTGCCATTTAACTTCAAATTTGGTCAGTCGGTTCTTCCATTTAGCCATGAAACAGGAAGTTGTCATATGATCATCCCACTCTGAACACATCTACATGTCAATAGTCAGATATATTCATAGCGGCAACAGGAAATTATATATTTCATACTTCCATGGTTTACTTCTAGCAGGTTGATTGGCTCCAGCTGTAATTTGGTCAGACAACCCTTAAGACATTGATGATGATATGTTATGAGTGTCTGTTTTTCAAATACTGTTGCCGTAGCAAAGAGGTAAATGTTGTTATTTCCTTTTTTACAGTTGATGACAGTTTTGCGGGGCTAAACATCCTCCCTAATTCACGGAAATTGGCATACGTGTCAAATGTCATGTAGTTTTCGCATTTGATTTTGGTCTTGTGCATGGGTATGACTCTATAGCGCCTCCTCGAAAACTTCAACAAAGCAGCCCCAGTGGCACGTTTTATCCAGATGTACAAAAATTGGTAGGCACATGCATCATGTCTATACGTAAAGCAAAGCCTCTTGGACCTATACCCCAAACCCAACAGGAAGTCAGCGATTTTTTAATTAGGTGGTCTTTTTTGGGCGATTTGCATGTGTTGTATTTTAACAAACCCCCCCTTAGGAATTGATCAGGTCGACTTCAGATTTGGTCAGTGGATTCTAAAGACTATCACGATCAAAAGCTGTGCTATTTGTAACGTGTGTGCATCAAATGGTGTGCTAGAAGTTGTCATAACTTCAGTGTTCTTTGTCCAATCTCAAACTTTACTGGCAACAGGACATGACAGTTTTTTATACTTGTATGTACTACTCCTAGCCGGTTGATCAAAACCTGCTGAAAGACCCTTAAGACGTTGATGATGATACATACACACAGTCACAAACACTTACCACACACTGTCCATTAATACAGGGGTTGTTGGTCTGACAGATGTTGCTGGTCTCGGTGCAACCAGTTGGTCCATAACCATTGCCTATGTAGCCTGGAGGGCACGTACATATGGGGAAGCTTGTACCTGTTGAATGTCAAAGGTTTGAGTGAGAAACCAGTGAGAAGAAGAATACATGGTCATGTCCCACATTGCACATCTCACTCTTGAATTTCACTTTGTGGTCATCATGCAATACCAGATGATCAGGGAATTTACCGCCTACCGATTGTCTGTGGATTTCTAAATGCAAGATAGCTGCTTGAATGGTAGCAAGAAAGGCAGCTCACAAACATATGCCCCTTACTTCAAGGACATGCCTTACCTGACATGATGCTCTCTCTCCCGCATTCTCTTCCAGAGAAAGCTTTTTTAAACACTGAAAATGGATGTCCAGAGCAATGTTATATGGTATAGCAGTCTTTACAAGCACACAACCTCTGCATGTTAGGTTACAGTTAGCTAGTTGGATGCCACTGCTTTGAGAAAGATTCTGGAGGAGGTAGTCGCCAGACAGTTGTGTGACTTTCTACATAGCAACAGCTTATTTGAGGATTTCAGTCAGGAATTAGAGTTCATCATAGCACAGAGAGAGCACTGGTTAAAGTTAATAATGACCTTTTAATCGCTTCCGACAATTGACTTGTCTCTGTACTGTAAGAACATTTTTTTAAATTATTTTTTTGGCATTTTCATGCCTTTACTAGATAGAACAGCCAAGGACAGACAGGAAGGGTGGGTAGAGACAGAGGGGGGATGACACACAGCAGGGGGCTGCAGGTCGGATTTGAACCCGGGCCGCTGCAGCGACTCCGTATATGGGTCGCCAGCTCTACCGACTGAGCTAACTGGGCGCCCCTTACTGCTATATTTGACACCATTGACCGTAATATTCTATTACAGAGGCTTGAGCATCTAATCTACAAAAAATGTAGAATTGAATTTAAAATCCTCCTCCTCACCTATAAAGCTCTTCATGGTCAGGCCCCTTCATATCTTAAAGAGCTCATAGTACCCTATTACCCCACTAGAACACTACGTTCTCTGAATGCTGGGCTACTTGTGGTTCCTATAGTCTCTAAAAGTAGAACAGGAGCCAGAGCCTTCAGTTACCAAGCTCCTCTCCTGTGGAACCAGCTTCCAGTTGTGGTTCGGGAGGCAGACACCCTCACCACATTCAAGAGTAGGCTTAAGACATTCCTCTTTGATAAAGCTTATAGTTAGGGCTGGATCAGGTGAGTCCTGAACCATCCCTTAGTTATGCTGCTATAGGCCTAGACTATCGGGGGATTTCCCATGGTGCACTGAGCTACTCTCTTCCTCTCTCTTTCTGCACTCATTCATGTCCCTTTAATGCATGTTACTAACTCCACTTCTTCCCCGGAGTTCTTGTGCTTTCTCGTCTCGCAGGTTCTCATGGATCCTGGTGGAGCCTCCTGCCATGGTCCTGCTTGACTGCCATTGCCAATACTGTTGTTGCTGTGCACCTCTCTCTCTCTCTCTCTCTCTCTCTCTCTCTCTCTCTCTCTCTCTCTCACCCCAACTGGTCGAGACAGACGACCACCCACCTAGAGCCGGAGGATCTGTCCTAGGTTTCTGCCTTTTAACAGGCAGTTTTTCCTTGCCCTTGTCGCCAAGTGCTTGCTCATGGTGGTACTGTTGGGTCTCTGTAATTAATGTTAAAGAGTTCGGTCTAGACCTGCTCTATTTGAAAAGTGTCCTGAGATAACTTCTGTTATGAATTGGCGCTATACAAATAAAATTGAATTGAATTGAATTGAATTAATTGGCATTAAAGGAACCACACTAAGCTGGTTTACCTCCTATTTATCAGATCATTCTCAGTTTGTACATGTTAACGATTAATCCTACATACACACTAAAGTTAGTCAGGGAGCATTATTATTAGGAATCACTCTATTAACTTTCATTGTGATGCAGTGATATCTATCAATGAAGCTCGATGAAATGAATCAGTTATCTAAATTACAGACATGTCTTGAGGACATAAAAACCTGGATGTCCTGCAATTTTCTGATGTCAAACTCAGAAAAGTTCTTTGTAGTAGTTCTTGTACTTGGCCCCCAACACAACCAAGACTCACTGTCTGAAGATATAGTTACTCTAGATAACCTTGGCCTCTAGCACCACCGTCAGGAATCTTGGAGTTATCTTCGATCAGGATATGTCCTTTAATTCCCACATAAAGCAAACCTCCTGGACTGACTTTTCATTTACGTACATTGCAAAAATTTGACACATCCTGTCACAGACAGATGCAGAAAAACTAGTCTATGCATTTTTTACTTCTAGGCTGGATTACTGCAACTCCCTATTATCAGGCTGCCCCACGAGTACTGACAGGAACTAGGAAAAGAGATCATATTGCTCCTGTATTAGTTTCTCTGCACTGGTTCCCTGTAAAATTCAGAATAGATTTAAAATCCTCCTCTTCACCTACAAAGCTATTTTTGGTCAGGCCTACCCTATTACCCAACTAGAACAATGCGCTCTCTGAATGCAGGGCTGCTTGTGGTTCCTATAGTCTCTAGAACAGGAGCCTGAGCCTTCAGCTACTAAGCTCCTCTCCTGTGGAACCAGTTTCCAGTTTGGGTTTGGGGGGCAGACACCGTCTCCACATTTAAGAGTAGGCTTAAGACATTTCCTCTTTGATAAAGCTTATAGTTAGGGCAGTTGTGGCAAAAAATTACGTATTTTATGGGGGTCCACTATGACCATGGTAAAATGGCCCCTCAGGGGCCCATAAACTGAACCCCCCCCCGGGGCCCGTTACACCAATATGCATAAAAATCGGTACACGCGGAGATCATGTCCTGACGTACAAAAAACACACTTGGAGCCATATCCCAAAACCAACATGAAGTCCATTTTGGATTTAGCGGTAATTTCTGCTGATTTGCAATTCAATTCAATTCAATTCAATTTTATTTGTATAGCGCCAATTCATAACAGAAGTTATCTCAGGACACTTTTCAAATAGAGCAGGTCTAGACCGAACTCTTTAACATTAATTACAGAGACCCAACAGTACCACCATGAGCAAGCACTTGGCGACAAGGGCAAGGAAAAACTGCCTGTTAAAAGGCAGAAACCTAGGACAGATCCTCCGGCTCTAGGTGGGTGGTCGTCTGTCTCGACCAGTTGGGGTGAGAGAGAGAGAGAGAGAGAGAGAGAGAGAGGCAGAGAGAGAGAGAGCGAGAGACAGACAGATTTGCACCCCTTGTATTTTAACAAACTCCTCCTAGGGATTTGATCGGACTTCAAATTTGGTCAGTTGATTCTAAACACAATCACGATTGAAAGTTGTGCTATTTGTGACTTTTATTCAGAGGGCCTATCCATGACATGGTGCCAAGTTTTGACGTTTTGGCATAAAAAAAGAAATTGTCGGAACTTCAGTGTACTTTGGTCAAACAAGTGCATCAGGGTGCAGATCGAGTCCTGCCCTGAACACATCTACATTACAATATTTAGATATAGCCAGCGACACCTACTGGCAACAGGAAATTTTTTTTTTCTTCTACTTCCATGTTCTACTCTTGGCAGGTTGATCAGATCCTGCTGAAATTTGGTCAGAAAATGCAAAATATATTGAGGATTTTTCATGATTGTGGTGAGGTTTTGTTGAAGGGCGTGTCCGTGGCGTGGTGTAAATTTTTTATGTACCAGAACACACGAATTTGCTATAACTTGAGTGTACATTGTCCATTTGGCTCCAAACTGCACTGAAAAGAGTCCTGCCCTAAACACGTCTATGTGATAACATTCAGTAATAGTGATAGCGCCACCTAGTGGTGAAAGGAAATGTCTTTTTTTTCCTTTTATGCATATCTACCAGCAGATTGACCAGATCCAGCGGACAATGACATCTTATGAATCTTAAGAATTTTCGTAGAACCATGTTGCCATGGCGATGCAGCTTTTGTGTTAACATTTGAACAATTTCAACACTTCTACATGAGAATATTCAGATAAAGTGATAGTGCCACCCACTGGCAACAGGAAGTAAGCACTGCCAAGTGCTTGCTCATGGTGGAAACTGTTGGGTCTCTGTAAATAATTTTATAAGGAGCACGGTCTAGACCTGCTCTATTTGAAAAGTGTCCTGAGATAACTTCTGTTATGAATTGGCGCTATACAAATAAAACTGAATTGAATTGAATTGAAAATTGAATGAAATACCAAATTAATAGAAAATAACATCCACTCATATAGTATTTTGTTGCAGCTTAACTTGTAATTGTTAAATTACAAGTTAAGCTGCAACCCAGCGCCGGCTACTTTGCATCACCAACCGACAGAATAAACTGCAAATGGCAAGCCAATTACTTAAATTCTACTTCATTCAACTCAAGGAGTCCGGGGAAATCATGAATGTTTGTTTTTACCTGGGCTGGAAGAACAAGTTGCTAATGGGTGACAGCCTCCATTGTTGCTAGCGCAGATATTGGTCTGGGAGCATGTTCTCCCATCTCCTTCATAACCTGCACAAACAAAAATCTAAAATCAGGCAGATGATTACAGTTTTTTTTAATTTATTGTTACACTGGTCAGGAGCTTTGATCATGGGGCTGCTTAAAGAAAATAATAAAAATAATGATTGAACACTGCAAGAATTCTAGCACCCACTACAAGTTCCGCAAGGATCAGCTAGTCTGTATTACATCATATATGTACAGTCAAGCCGAAAATTATTCATACCCCTGGCAAATTTTGACTTAAAGTTACTTTTATTCAACCAGCAAGTTTTTTCTTGATTGGAAATGACACACGCATCTCCCAGACAATAATAAGACGATGTACAAGAGGCATCATTGTGTAAAAAAATATTTCTCAGCTTTTATTTACATTTGAACAAAAAGTGGCATGTCCAAAATGATTTATACCCTTTGCAAACTGCCACAGTCTATGGGAAAAAGTTCTATACCATTCCAAATAGTCCAAGCTGTTCTAAAGCATCCTAATTACCCGGATTCATTGGGAACAGCTGTTTTATTCAACTCAACAGGTGAAAAAACAGCAGCTCTCTGCAGTTGGTTTGTGAACAGTCATGGCTAAGACAAAGGAGGTCACTGAGGACCTGCGACTGCGCATTGTGGCTGCTCACAAGTCAGGAAAGGGCTATAAGGCCATATCTAAATGTTTTAGATTAGTTAAGATTAGATTAGATATTCCTTTATTTGTCCCACAGTGGGGAAATTCCAATGTAACAGCAGCAAAGTGGATAGAGAAAAAAAACAGTATGAAATAAACAGTAAGAGTAGGGAAATAATAAAAAACACTACATACAAGAGAAAAACCAGTAAGAATCAACAACAACAGATAACACAAATAACACAGAAAATAGTAGCAGCAGCTGCACATGGGCAATAGATTGCACATTAATTATTGCACATTACTATTATTATTGATGCCGAGATGGGGGGGGGGCAGTGCTGGTTGTTGAACAGTCTGACAGGAGCAGGAAGGAAGGACCTATGATATCTCTCCTTCACACATTTGGGGTGAAAGAGTCTGTCACTGAAGGAGCTGCTCAGTTCATTTCGAGTTCCAGTGGCTACAGTGCAAAGTATTATTAAAAAAAAGGATACGTTCCGCACTGTGGGAAATCTCAGAGGACGTGGTCGGAAGCCAAAAGTGACACCTCTGCTGGCCAGGAGGTGAGAGAGGTGAAAAAGAATCCAAGGATCACCACCAAGGCCATCCTGGTGGATCTGGGCTCTGCAGGTGGCAACGTCTCAAGGAAGAAAGTCCAACGAACAATGCACACTGCTGGGTTCCACGGACACAGACCAAGGAGGACACCACTTCTCCAGAAAAGGCACACAAAAGCCTGCTTGGCCTTTGCAAATGTTCATCTGGACAAAGAAGAAGACTTCTGGTCTTCTGTTTTATGGTCAGATTAAACAAAAATTGAATTGTTTGGCCACAATGATGTATCCTTCATCTGGCATAAAAAAGGAGAAGCCTTCAACCCTAAGAACCCCATCCAGAAATGTTTTTTCCACAATGATGCCTCTTGTACATAGTCTTATTATCTTCTGGGAGACACCTGTGTTATTTCTAATCAAGAAAACTTGCTGGTTAAATAAAAGTAACTTGAAGTCAAAATTTGCCAGGGGTATAAATAATTTTGGGCTTGACTGTATATGTAATTTCATTGTTCATGTTCACAAGCAGTGTGTGCAAACAAAAATGGTTCCATAACTTCCAGTAAACACCAGAGGGAAAAAAAAAAAAAGCTAAAAGGACAAGCATTAGTTTCAGAGAGAGAGAGACTTGAGTGGAAAAGAGAAAGTAAGTAGTTAGAAAGTTAAGTCGTCATATATAATAGTAAACACTGTAACTTTTCTCATCTCATACCTGGAGGGCAGGGTCCACAGTGGAAGGAGCCCATGGTGTTCAGGCATTGGACCATGGGAGTGATGGAGCAGCCACCATTATTGGTCAAACATTCGTCTACATCCTGACAACTATAGCCATTGCCATGCCAACCTGAGACATATTAGAAGTCATTCAAAAAATGTTTTCATTTATTCAGGCTATGCATAAAGCCACATTCACATGGATAGACAAAAACTACAGTATGACATGGATTTACTTTTTCAATTGTGTGCATACACAAGTACAAACAGAATGTGGTTAACAAATTCTTGCAATATTTTGTTTTTCTTTGCAATTTGCTGTCCACTGCTAGAATGTGATATTGTCAGGAAAAAAAATCAGGATCAACACAATTTTAATAGTATGAAAATTTTGTTTAGGAAAAAATAAATTTGGGCACTACTCAGAATCAGAATCAGAATGAGATTTATTGCAAGGTAGGTTTTTACACATACGAGGAATTTATCTTGGTGCAAGTCTCAGTCATACACATTCATGGATGCACAACATCCGGAGCAATTTGGGGTTCAGTATCTTGCTTTGATATGCAGCAGGATCAAACCCACCAGCCTTCTGATTAGTGGACGACCCGCTCTACCTCCTGAGCCAGAGCAGCCACCCCAAATTATAGAAATATAACGATTGGTGGTACAGCAGCTGATACTACCAGACAGCAGCAGAATGAACAGGCTGTAGTTGGAATGGGCACTGCTATTTCATACTATACTGCGCTAAGACTCCATTAATGCTTCTGGTCTCAAAGTAAAAAAATCAGTTAGCCAACCCCAACATTTGAATTACAGCCCAGTATGAGTTGTGTCATTGAGTGTTACCAGCAGGACAAGCTCCACAGTAGAAGGAACCCTGAGTGTTATAGCAGGAAACTGCAGGGTTGGTGGAACAAGGTTTGTTGGGTAGGTTGCACTCATTCACATCAGCCACACAGGCCGGGTTCCCAGCTGTAGTCTCCCAGCCACTTTCACAAATGCATTTGTATTTAGGCTTTATTGGGAAAAAAAAGTCACAATGTAAAAACTCTGTTAACCAAAAGCATATCTACAGTAAAACAGAATCATTGAAATACAAAATTAAACAATCCTGAATTTTGATATAAGATCAGTTGTTTGCATGCCATGCAGGTACAATGACATGCCCAAATTGAAAAAATTTCTTTTACTAGTATTTCCAATTTACACATCTACTTCTTGCACACTCTGTAATCTCTCACTTAGCATCACATCACAACATAATACAACATTAAAAGACATTTGGAATGGAATGACATGAATGCACCAATGTCTGCTGTGTTTTATACCTTACGATAAATTACTGAAATCATATGGTTTGGAATGAAAACCTTCAGAGTACTGGGCCTTATGGACTTGATGATAGTACATAAAATCACTTACTGCTAATGAAGCTTCAAAACTTTACTGAGTATTGATGCATTCAGTCTTACATTGTGACAAGCAGCAAAATCTTATCTCTATTGGTAAATGGTAAATGGACCTGTACTTGTATAGCGCCTTTCTAGTCTTCCGACCACTCAAAGAGCTTTTACACTACGCCACATTCACCCTTTCACACACATGCACTCAGTGATGGCAAAGCCCATCAAACAGAATCTAACTCATTCATACACATTCACACACCAATGCATGGCATCGGGACCAATTTGGGGTTCAGTATGTTGCTCAAGGATACTTCGACACGCGGCACCAGGAGCCGGGGATCGAACCAACTAGGGGGCGATTAGGGGACGACCCGCTCTGCCTCTGCGCCACAGTCGCCCTATTGCTCTCCCATAATAAAAATATCAATATTGCGGTTTCTGTATAGCTTCACAGTCCGGAATTAATTTATCCATGTAAAAGCTTCAATTATATTGTGCCATATAAGTATACAAAAAATACAATTAAGCTTTTGTTTAAGAAAGTACAAATAAAAGAGAATAAAAGCTTTTTCTTATTACTATTATTAGTCCACTCAGAGGCATAATATTAACTACATTCAGTATAAATTACATGTAACACTGTGTATTTTAACTCTCTCTGTTGATAACAGGTAATGTGGATTCTGCTATATATTTCTTGAATGAATTATATATTATATATATTTATATATATGTTAAGTGACTGCTTACCTGTCCAGGTATAACTCGGTCTGCATCAATACATGTGCCATGTACACACAGGTCCTGTCCTCCATTCCTGCAGTCATCATAACGCTCAGTACAGCGACTCCCTGACCATTCTGGAGAACAGTTACAACTGTGTAGACACAGAAATATTATTACAATACCAAAATGGTAGATGTAGTACACAGTATGATTCATAAATAAATTGATCACTAACAAGGAGATGATAATTAAGGCCTCAAACACGTTTGATCAATTACCTCTATCCAGTGTGGGGTAAGTTACTTTAAATGTAATGTATGTAACAAATGTAATATATTAGAGATTAATAGTTACTTGCATTTGAATAGTAAGGAGTAGGTAGAAGGTTACAATTTTACTGTCTGTGTAGAGCAGTGGTTCCCAACATGGGGATCGCCAAAGCTTCACAGGGGGTCAAGGCACACTTAAAGTGTCTTAAAACCTGCATTCTATGTAAAGGCCGGCAGGGGAGCTCCATTGGCTGCAACCAAAAACGATAACATACACTCTAATGGAGAAATTACCCGACTGTTTACTTGATTTATTAACCTTATCTCAGTAAACAGTTTCCTAACAAGTTTATGGTCAATCATCTTGAATACCCATGAAAAAACGTAATATTTACAAATCTTTTACCAATATAACTGGTCTGTTATGATTAAATACAACGTTTGATTGATTATACTACAGTAGCTAGCAAGTACAGTAGTGTTACACAGTACATCACTTGTGAAGGTCA